TGGAAAGAGTCTCCATTCGAGAAGTCTATTCTGGGAGGGAAGGGGACATATGGAAACAGGAAGATTGTGAGTGGCACCAATAAGATACATTTTTTTCACCATATACTGAAACTTTGAGGAAATTGGGATCCAATAAAAGGAAATACTTCTTCATGCCACAGATAGTAAAATTAAAGGATCTTATTACTTTCAAGATATGGTACTAGCAAGAGATGTAGAAGGATTAGAAAGGATTTGAAAGGCTTATAGATGCCAAGAAAGGCTGGATCTCTCTTAAACATAAGGCACAGAAAGCAATGTTCCTTCTACTACTCACCCTCTGGGGCTGCTTCTGCCAGGAGAGCCCACACCATGCTGGCCTGGAATGAGAATCCCTATATGTTTGGCTCTGGACATTTCTGAGAAGCTCCAGTCCTTCCACTCATGTTCCTTATGGTCAATGCTTTGCTGGAGCAGGCTAGCATCTATTAAGGGGAGAGGACTTGACTAATGCCATTTCATTCATTCATAATTCAACAAATATTTCTTCAGCACCTACCATATGACAAGCACCAGGCAAGAAATGAAAAATTATCATGGTCCTTAAGAGTCACAACAATAAACAAAACAAACATATAATTAAGAATTATAGAGCTACTCAAGGCAAGGAACATTAAGCTCCAAGAGAAAGCGTGTGTGTGTGTGTGTGTGTGTGTGTGTATGTGTGTATGTGCGTGTGTGTGAATGTGTGTGGAGAGGGAGGGCTGGTGACAACCTAGACAAGATGGTCAGAGAAGGAGTCAGGAGAGGAAACAGTCCATCTTAGGTCTAAAGGGCGAGCAGCCTGCTCAGTATGGGGAGAATGAAACATGGAGTAAAATGGAAACATGTACAAAGGTTCTAGGGTGCAAATGAGCTGGTTGGGCTCAAAGCTTAAAGAGGCCAGTGTGGCTGGAGCTTGGAGCAGAGGTGGGCGTGGGGTGAGTGGTTGTGCCAAGCTCCAGGTGGGAGTGGAGGTTCAGGTGGAGGCCAGGTCACACGGGACCTCATAGGCCATGGCAGGGAGTTTGGATTTCATCCCAAATAAAATGAGGGAGTTTTTCAAAGTAAAGAAACAAAAAAAAAAAAACCCCCAAATTCAGTGATTCACTTTTTAAAGTCTCATACTAAGATTGTATGTGACTCTTCAGCCCTGTTAGACTATGTGCATACATACTCTACTCTTGTGTTTAGGTTAATTACTGAAATCTATAACTTCTCTGTTGTTGGCCATTGTCCTATGGCTATGGAGAGGATATCTGATAATCAGAAAGCTCTTGAAGAAGGAAGACCAGTTGGCAAATCAAGAAGGAATGGATCATTCCTTATACTCTGAACTTATCCATTATCTCACTCTCCAATGGGCTGAGGGGCCCCAGGCCTACAATGGGAACTCAGCCAGCCACGTACCATGTCTCTTTATGGTATGTCTAGGGATCACTTCCCAAATAAATTACTTGCATTCACATCAGTAGCTCCTGGGCTGATTCAGGGGAAACCCAATCTGAATATTAGGTTGAGTTTAAATAAAGAAGAAAAAACTTGTCAAGATTCCTAGCATCCATTAATTCTAGGGTTCCTTCCCTTAAAAAAGGTAGGGTATGGGCCAGGGATTTAGCTCAGTGGTTTCGCCTCCTGCTGTGCAAGCACAAGGCCCCAAGTTCGATCCCTGGTACCAAAAAAATAAAATAAAAGGTGGGGTGATGGCATCAGACCCTATCTAGTAAGCAGCTGGAAGGCAGTGTCAAACTTGGAGTCAAGGACAATCGTATAGCTTTTTCACAATTTGACTGGCTTCATTTCCAACTAATAAAACTAGACCTAGAAATTGAGAAAGTCACATTTTAAGAAAGAATATTTTGAAATGCGGAACATAAATGTGAATGCGGTAAGCTGCAATGGGAAAAGGGACAAGAATACTAATGAACTAGTTCAAAAGGAAATCTGTGTCCTGCAGATGTAATACATGACTCGTGGTAATAAATCTGCCTGAAGTTTCTGTACTTCCTATAACCTCCATGACCAAAGATCTTTTGTGATCTTTTGATGATTTGCAGTCTAAATAATCAAAAGTTTACAAGTGAATCAGGAATAGAATGTTTGGCGCAGCAGAGGAAAAGAACAGATTAATCTTCCAACACAAAATGTTTTGTGGTATACCTTTTTATTCATGTGAAATTTTATTCATGTGAATTTTTTCCCCATTTTGTCTTACAATGAAGCCATTGTCCTGGGCCCTAGAACTGTGATTATCCTTATGGGGCTTTAATTTTATTTTTTTTGAAATGGGGTCTCACTATGTTGATTGGTTTAAAACTCCAGGGACCAAGTGATTCTCTTGCCGCTGCCTCCCAAGTAGCTGAGCATACAGGCATTGACACCACACCCAGCTCTTTATGGGACTTTTAAAGTCCTGAATTGGAAAAACAGGAAATAGCATTTTGCTAAAGACAAACCTTAACCAAGAAGAACAACAATCCATGCAATGATTTTGTGACTTTGTAGGAGCGAACCTCGTAAAATAAACATGGACATGAGACACAATAGATGAAATCCTAAGAGGCCACATTCAGTCTAAACACTCTTCCCTTGTCTTCTACCATATGCATAGAGTCTAGCCCAAGGCCATATTACCAAATTATTTCGTTTGTTGGTTGGTCTGCGTTTTGAGATGGGGTCTCACTATGTAGTTCAGGTTGGCCTTGAACTCACTATGTAGCCCCAGATGGCTTTGAACTCACAGCAATCTTCCTGTCTCACCCTCCTTAGTGCTAGGATTTCAGGCATGTGCCACCATGCCCTGAAATATTACTCAATCCTAAATTAATGTCATGGCAAAGTTTTATTTTATAATGATGTCCAAATATTAATATTTGAAATAAATGCATTTAAAAACCAAATATATCATTAAGTATCGTTCAAGTTTAACATATTAGACCAGGACCAACAGGAGCCAGGGATGAACAGGTTTGAGGAGTGAAATGAGGTGTTGAAAGAAAAGAACTGATGGAATCTTTCTCAGCCAGCTCCCAGCCTGAGGGAGGTCCATTTAAATGTATTTGGTTCAAAGAACCAATGAAATAATAGTATGAAAGAAAAAAGGAGGGGTCAACAGGAGATGAGCAGAGCAGGAAGTCACCTGTTATCCGTTCACCAAAGGATATATGCATGGCGGACCTTGGGAATGAACACTAATGTGGCTCGTTCTTGCTTCTTTAGGTAGTGGACATGTCATAAGTATGGGTTTTTAGATGATGAAATAAAACATGTTTTAAAATAGAACTGAGGTTGGGGATTTAGCTCAGTGGTTTCGCAGCCTGGTGTGGAAGCACAAGGACCCAAGTTCAATCCCCAGTACCAAAAAAAAAAGAACTGAAATGTTGTAGTTACAGATATTTAGGTTGTGTGTGACTCTTCACACATCGGGGGTAAGCTGTGTGCTGCCAAATATCTCCTCCCTAAACCACGGATCCTGCTCTAGAGTACGCTGAGAAGCAAACTGAGTTTTCACATATAGACTGTCAAAAGTCCACATCAAGGTCTCAGAGAAGCCAGAGTGAGTCTATGAACTTGAAAATATGAGGGTGTGTGGTAGGGAAATTGGGTCTAACTTTGTGGGGGGAAAAAAGTTTTGGCCTCTAGTTCAGGGGCACATCTGTCCTCTTGATATTTTCTCTTATATTTCAAGTCTCGAAATAATTCAGTTTACAAAGTCATTACAGTCCTTTTAAAAGACGCATTCGATCTTTCAATAGGAAAGTTAAATGTGAAACCAATTGATTTTATAGTCATAGTGAAGAAATTGCAGTTTTAAATTCTATCTTCAGATTTGGTAAGTAGACTTCAGAATCAATGAAAGAAAATGGCTTGACTTGTCCACCAGGTGACTCCTAAAACATGTCACTGACCTGTGAGGCATAGCACATGGATGGCTGCTAGAAGGTAGGAGAGCTCTGAGGTCTTCCAAATGTGTGGAGTTTTGCACACAAATAGAAAGAACAAGACTTTAGGGCCCGTCTAGAGCCTTGTCCTACTCTACCTCTGCATGTGTGACTAAGTACTGCTTACTCCGCTGGGTCTGGCAGCTCACCTCCTAAAGCCAGCTCTCATAGTTTGTGAGTCTGAGTCAGGAGGATGAAAACAGAACAAGTGGAAGAAGCCTAAAGAAAAGAGGTTCCCGTGTGTGGCCCTAAGCCATGTGTCATGTGGAGATACATTTGCTGAGAACTGACCTGGGTAAGTAAAGGGTGAGTGAAGTATATTTTCTTTTTTATGCCTTTTCCCCCTGTGTTTTCTAAAATGAAGATATATTGATGTTATAATAAAAACGGACTGACCAAGGGGGAAGAACGGATGGAAAGAGGATGGCTCCCTGGTACAAGGATTGCAGTTCATAGGAGAAATACCTTCTAATGGTCTATAGCACAGTTTGGTAACTATGGTTGACAACAATAAATCCGGTGTTTCAAAATAGCTAGTGGAAAGGGGCTGAATGTTCCCAACACAAAGAAATGAACATTTGAGATGGTGGATTGCCAATTACCCCGATCTGATCGTTACACATTGCACATATGTATCCAAATATCACAGTGTACCCTATAAATATGTGCAAGTGAAATAAATGGTCTGAAAAGGAAAAAAAAATGTTATGGGCAGGTCCAGATAATATCAAAAACAAAATAGGAGTGAAGACTTTATCTGAGGCTGGAGGATGAGGAAGTGCCCTGGAGGAATTTGCTTGGATTCCTGTGGCTCAGAAACACCCTCAGCAACCCCAGGATCCCCTCCTGCCTCACAGGCCCAGATTATCAGTTACCCAGGGTGGAGGCAATGTCAACCGGGACCTACTGCGGCTTTGGGAGTCCCCTGGTCAAAGTGAACTTTCCATGGGCTAAACTTTGTTTGTGCCTGCGGACCCGCCTGGCGCCTGGCGGGGAGGGGGGGGGGGACTCAGGTGAGCCTCCTGCTGTGCTGTTTTGCAGCTCGCCCTTGCTTCGTTGGGGAGTGGAGCGACTGGAGTCCCTGTGCAGACCAGTGCAAGCCAGCGACCCGCGTGCGGAGGCGCTCGGTGCGGCAGGAGCCTCGGAATGGCGGGGCGCCCTGCCCACCGCTGGAGGAGCGAGCCGGCTGCCTGGAGTACGCGAGGACGCTTGGCCAGGGCTGCGGGGACACCTTCGGTAGGTACTGTGTTCTCCAGCTGGAGCTTGGCTAGCTTGATGACTTGTTGGCCTCTTCATCCCATAAAAGGTCATGGGCTGAGCAGGGAAAGTTCCACACCCTGTAGGGAATGGGGTGGGCCCATCTGGCCAAAGGAGATAGGAAGCTCAGGAAACGTTGAATAAAGGAAACGATGGCCTGCTGAAAAAAGCCTCCCTTTCCCTCCCTTCCCTTGGCGTGTTTTTAACCCCAAGGCCCATTCTCACTCTGCATGGGCTCAGTAACAAGCCACATGTGTGCACCCCCCTCCCTTCCGGTGCTGGGAATTGAACTCAGGACCACATGGTTGGACAAGTGCACTACTACTGAGCTACACTCCCAGCTATACATGCATGTGGGCTTTTAGGTGATGGAGGACGTTAGATAGGATGACGCTATTTCACACAGGCTAGTAATTTCACTTCCACTGTGATTCTTCATTAAGCAGGGGTTTTAATTTGCACATTATTTTTTGCACACGCACAAACGTGCAAATGGTAGGAAAACGATAAATTTTTAAACAATGATAAAATGATTCTCTTAAAACATTTGCCTTTCCTGTCAAGCTGATAGGACTGAGGCCAGTGTGATCTGATCTGTGATTTGAAAAGATCACTCTAGTTGTGAAGCAGCCAGCGGTGGGGTTAGAAGCAGTCTCATTAAGGACCAGAAGCCCCAGGAGTCTCACAAGAAAAGAATAGGCCAGTATTTATGAACTGATCTGGATTGAACACAACAGGGCAAAACACTAACATGTCAGGATAGCAACAACCCTGTGTTTTTCACAGGAGCACGAAAACTTTCAAGCCAACACCATCTTCACCAGCCATTTAGTTCCTTCTTTTTCTCACACATTAATATTTATTGAGAATCTACTTGATGCCCGGTGTAGGGTGGACAACGGGGCTATAGTGGGGAGAAGAGTTGATGTGGAGGCTGCTCTCGTGTAGATCACAATCTAATAGGCAGGGACAAAATAATCATAGGGGCCAGGGATGTAGCTCAGCAGTGCCGAACCTGCCTGGCAAGCACAAGGTCCTGAGTTCATTGCTGGTACCAGGAAAAAAAAAAAAGAAAGAAAGAAAAAAAAAGAATCATAAGGTTCCAGGAAATTAATCCCAGAAATGTACAGCTGTGGTATCTGGTACAGCTGGTATTAGATGAGTGAACAGTGCATGGAGCGCTAAGCAAGAGTAATAAGATGTTAGGGAGAGGAAGGGGCAGGGGCTTCCCTGGAGATAGGGCCGAGGTAGACAGATCAGCATGGTTAAACCTAGTCTTCAGGTGCAAGAGAGTTGAGGGATTTGAGGGATGATCAGGAGCAAACATATGAGCACAAGAGGCAGTAACACAGTAAGCCTTACTGGGCAGTGCTTAGACAGGGTGGTGTGAAAGAAGAAATCCTCACAGCATGGACTGTCCAGATCTTATGGTGGACTGGGCTCGGGTACCATGCAGAAGGGGGAAGAGGGCACAGGACCTCCCAAGGTAGACGGGGATTGAAGAGGGACCTTCTGTGTCTAGGTGATGTCTGGGGCATAGCAGGAAGTATCTACATCAGAGAACTTCAAAGGGCAGAGCCAGTTTAGGATCTTTCTGTTTTTGTTTTTTGCAGCACTGGAGATTGAACCTAGGGATTGCTAAGCTACATCTCTAGCCCTTTTAAATTTTTATTTTATTCTTAAATTTTATTTTGAGACAGCATCTTACTAAGATAGCCACAAGTTCTGGACATCTTTTGGGGCCATTATTCTCCCTACTGTAGGGAGGTGGACAAGATTATTTTTCTTAGTGTCCACAGGAAGACACTGGAGTTCTTGGAGGTGACAGCACTTGTCAAGTCTATTAGAATTTAGAACTGGATCTTGTGGCTCTAAACCTATGGGTTTTCCCCTTTTCATGTTGTTTATCTGTTAACTGTCATCATTAGCCTGAAAATGTGATTATAGATTCTGGTAACAGTAGAAATATAAAGGCTTCATAAAGCCAATGAATGAAACATGATCAGTGAAACTTTCTTGTTGATGAGCAAGTAGCTGTTGAATTTCTCCTGTTTAATCTAATGCATATGATTATATTTTATCACAAAATAAATGTAAAGAGGTGAATTATTAAATTTGTTGCACATTGCTGATGTTTATATGAATTTTCCCCCTAAATGGAGATCAGTGTGCATTACTATAAACTGTAAGTTTCCAGGTAGCTGTTATTTGTCAGATTTCCATTTTATTCTCATCTATATTCTATTGGTGTACAGACCAGTGAATCTCAGCCTGCTTTTGTGATATCCTATTGTGTCCGAGGGCTTACAAAATTCCCAAGGCAAATTTAATTTACTTTCATGTTCAAAGGAAATACGTGCAGTGCCATGCCTTTTAAAAGTAGAAGTTGTTGTAAAACTGAACAATGGCAGGCTCATAGATTGCCAGAGTTGGCAAATGGCCTGTGAACAAAGAATATATTACATTTGAATATTGTTGTCAGGAAGGGGAGCTAACATTTATGGGGAGAGTTTGTCCCAGGGCACCCAGCTACGTGTTTCTACACATAAGCAGAAGTGGGACTGAAGGCATAACTAATTTCTAAACTATGTACCACTCTTAAGTAGTGAAAATTAAATGTGTGGGGCATATTAAAAAGTGGCACTGGTTTGGAGAGCTCCAGGTGATCTGGCTCCCAGTCTACTTGCTAGAGACTCACATGTAGGGGGAGGATGCCCTTGCAGTAGAATGTGCCCTTGATCCAAGCCCTGGAGCTGCAGGGGTGGGGAGAGAGAGCAGGCGGGGTGCTGAGTGACTGGCTTACTTTCATGATGCGCCATAACCACAGACCAGGAACACATTGTGCAGAAACTAAGCATGGATCATAAGTCTTAAAAAGACAGAAGAGGTCTTCTGTGTCGGGGTCCTTTCCTCTTCATGGAACCTCTCTGGGTCTGAGAAATAAAATTGGCATCAACACATCTTTACAAAGTTTTTGTGAAGGTTGGGAGTGTGTATGAAATTACTCTGTGATTTCTTGTGTAAACACAAGGAGCCATCGTAGTTGAGTCTGAATCTGTGCCTACTCTGGGCCTGATGGGACTTGAGAGAATAACAGGTTAAAATTTCCCCTTTTCCTTTCTTAAATCTGACTTCACGTTGAGGGTGGTGATTTGGGACAGAAAGGGAAAATAGACTAGAATTTGACTACTTTATGGGAAATAGGCTGCACAGAACAGCGGAGCTCTGCAATCTGCATTATTGTAAGGTGTTTCTGAAGCACATGCTTTGGGAGATATTGCCTGCCTTGATTTGAGCCTTGAACATTATTTTTTCTGTACCGGGGCTTGAACCCTGGGCCTTCACACTCAGCAGCATCCCCGGTCCTTGCCTCATTTTTTCTGAGCTGTCCATTAAGTTTGGTACCTTTGAACAATGATATGTGCAGTGCAAGTTAGGAGAGCATGTAAATGATTTGAACAAAAGAAACATCCTGAAAATATTTTAGTCTGATGTGTACGATGTTGCAAGCATTTAACAGTTCATTTATTCTTTACTTAGTGAATAAACACATAAATGTTTCAAAAGAACAGAATTGAAAACACATGGGAAAACTAAAATCCTTTAGAAGTTTTTGTTGCTGATCATTAGGTCTGAGGGGCAGAGAAGAATCCTGATACATGCACTCACTTCTTAATTTTGTGGATTTTTAAAAATGCCAAAGCTACAGTCACATTTAGAAAGCATGACATGCTCTTTCGGGAAAACAGTTAAACATGTCAGTGCAGCAAAAAAGAGCCCCACAAGCTGGAACTCTCAGGTTTGCTCTAGGGGTGTATAGTTTTCATACTGGGGAGATTAGGCACCAAACCACATGAAACAAGAACCATGCCTGCCTGCAAGTCTTAGTAACAAGTGACTACCTGGCATTAGGCTGCTCTTGTCTTACGTTCCCTAGTGCAATAAAAATGACTTCATTAAGAAAATCTAAAAAAGAATTGAGGCCTGCCCTCTTGTGGCAGCAAGGAGGGAGGTAAACCAGCACACGCTCAAGGCTTTTTTCTCCAGCCAGTGCCCTCCTGCCCTCTTGCTCATGTTGATGATGACCTTGGCATCTCACGAACCATCATCACCTTCTATCTTCCTTTCCCAGGGTTGTCTAGTTTCTGAAATAAAAGGTAGGAAGACTGTTGAGCTATCTCCATTGCGAGGCTCAGGAAAGTCAGCCCTCCATAGCCAGAATCTACATCTGCAAATTCAAGCAGCCAAGAATTGAAAATATTTGGGAAGCAAATTGCCTCTGTACTGAACATGCACAGACTTTTTCTATGCCATTCCCTAAACAACCTACTACTACAACTATTTATTAGTGTTTATATTGTAGTAAGGGTTATAAGTAATATCCAGAGATGATTGAAAGCATATGGTAGGATGTCCATAGGCTATATGTAAATACTGTGACATTTTATTTAAGGGACTTGAGTACCTGAGGATTCTGGCATTCTCTGGGATTCCTGGAAAGAAACACTCATGGATAATAAGGAATGACTTTATAGGACCAGAAGGCCACAAGGAAATAGGACTGTGTGCTTTGATGGTGATCCCATGATTTTATTCATTCATTTATTGAATGAATGATGTAGCTCAGTGTGAAGACCCTAGGTGCAATCTCCAGTTTTCAACCCCCTCCCCAAAAGGACTGGAAATGTAGTTCAGTGGGAGAGTGCTTGTCTAGTATGTGCAAGGTTCTGGGTTCAACTCCTAGTAGAGTACCATACCATACCATACCGTACAGTAAAGTGAACTGAAATGAAATAGATCAGAGGCAGGAGGAAAGGCTCTTGGCTCCTTTTCTTTTCTCTGCCCTATAATGTCAGAGTCCAGGGCTACATGGAGACTCACTGTCCTGGCTGGCACTGTGCAGTGGGCAGAGCGTCCAGGCTGTGGTTACCTGGAGCTTCCTTCCTTTGCTGCTGTTTTTAATCCTTTCCCATTTCTCCTCTCTGATTGTTTTCTCTCCTTCCATCCACTTTTATCTCTCTTTGATTTTCTTTCTCCTTTTTTCTTTTTCTCTCTTACTTTATTTTTCCTATCTTTTCCATTTCTTTTCCCTTAGTTTTAAAAAAGGTCCTTTTTTCTCCTCTTATAATCTCTATTACCTCACTTTCCCCCTCGCTTTTCCTGCATCTTTTTCTTATTTCATACTGGTTTTTCTTCCTGGCTCCTTTCCTTTGTTTCCCAGCTTTGTTACTGCAGACAAATGTGCTTGTCAGACACCTGCAGCCCCTTCTGTGTCATCTGCATGTGCATAAGCCTTTAAGTAATTTAGTTCTGCAGACCTTGTAACTTAGCCTCATTTCACGGCTTGTTGGGGCAACAAGATCTTAGGGCTTAGAAATGAAGATGTTAGCTAGGCATGACAGCAGGTTTGAGAAATCTTGTTCTGACTCTTTTGGCTGCATGGATTTAACATAATTTTCCCTTTTTATAGTCCCTGCCTTTATAACTACCTCTGCATTCAACAAGGAAAGAACAAGACAAGCTACATCTCCACGGTGGTCTAAAATCACAGAAGAGCCTGGGTAATTTGGCATTTTTAGTATTATGCTTTTCCAGTTGTGTAGTCAAGTCTATCCAGAAGACTTACTTGCTTTGTCTATGTTTTCTTCTGTTATTTGTTCACTGACGTCCAGTAAAACATGACTCTTCCCTAGAATTGAGAAAGTACTTGTCTCCTTCCTCTTTTGGTTACAGATTTGTCCCTGAGGTCTCATCTCCAAGACACATTTACATAATAATGAGGTATTATCTGATTAAGAACACGAGGGAGGGATGCTCTCCCTATAATCTGCATGGAGCCATGCACCCCAGCATTGTCTCCATTGGTAAATTAGAAAGTGACCCACACTTCAGCCTAGAGGATTTCCTATTGAGACCTCCTGGTACAGACTGGAAGGCACTGCCATACTCACCAAAGATCCCCTCTTCTACCATCAGATAAGAGACTGGATGGCTACATGCTCACCGGCCATAATTATTCCACCTCAATTGTTTTTTTCTTAAGAAGTGAGATTATTAATACCTACCACGTGAGGTTGATGTGAGCATTTAATGAGAAAATAGCATTGCAGAGATGTTTGGACTGTCTGAAGTTGATTGAAGCCAAATTGTAGAACTTCTGACCTCAATAACTAAAGGTTCTAGGTAATTTTAGTTACTAATAAGCCGTATGTACCATTGTTAAAGATCTTTGGAGCAGATTCTCCAAACACTTCCCATTTAAGTGGGAACCTATTACAACTCATTATTTGATGAATAAGAAATTAGCCCATTTAATTGAAAATGCAGTAAGTTTCTTTTATGACACTTAGGGTTTTTACTGTTTTGTTCTCCTGAAGACTTGAAAAGTTGTGTTGCTTCTACATACAAACTCTCAAATATTCAGCATGTCTGGATACTTGCCTGAGGACTTCAGCTGTTAGTCACATATTTTCCACAGCTCAGTGTATGGTGACACCAAGCTCTGTCACAGAAAACACCACCCAGCTTCCCATTTCTGCTTTCATCTGTGATCCCTGATATAACTTTGGTGCTTGATTTCAAGTCAGGACTCATTGACAGGACCTCAGATCATGCAGATGGGCTGGAGGGGAGTGTAGGAAAGGCTCCTGGGAACTTTGGTGGGGGCAGAACAGCATGAGTGCTGGCCTGAGTGTCAAGAACGAGCCCACTCAGGGCTCATAGTTAAGGGTTCTCAGGCTTGTGCAAGGGCCCCTTCAATTTATGTAATTCTTTACACTATCAGCAAAGTTATCCTGGGCTGTTTTCGTACTGAAACAGGTTGTCCAAATCTGCAAATTCATGTTGATCAGATAATTCAGTCATGGATTGAAAAAGAGCGAAAAAGGTTTCCCTGTATTCTTTAGTAGCATGTTATAGTTCCACAAATGAGAAACTGTCGGCTTTGTGTGACTTGTGTGTGAAGAAGCACTCATTCCCTGCTCAAGTCGGCCAGGTACCCTGGAAAGTAACAGATTTTCTAAGACTTTCTGTGACGTTAGACCACCTCTAATTACAGCAAGTGAAATCCTTCCTTGTTTTGCTCTAGATACTGTGTGGAGTTCAAGACCAAGTCCCTGACTCCCCACTGTGCTTTGGAAAACCAGCCCCTGACTCGGTGGATGCAGTATCTCCGAGAGGGGTACACAGTGTGTGTGGATTGTCAGCCTCCAGCTATGAATGCTGAGAACCTTCGCTGCTCTGGAGATGGTCTGGACTCTGATGGGTATGGAGGGAAATGGATGGAAGGACTCAAATTCTTCTTACTTATTCTGAGGATCTCTGTCCCCTCTTCATCCTGAGCCACTGACCACCACGTGACAGGAGGCATGATTGGGCAGTGTGGAGAACCATCTGCCCAGCAATCCCTGAGTCCAGGGCTTCAGTTCTTACTGCAGGACTCAGAAGCTCTCTGAGAATTGCATGGGTCTCTTTGGATACTGGGGTTCAGTTTAGACTCCCAAATGACCACTAAAAACCCGATTGCTCCAAAGCAATATTCTGAAGATCATTTGAATCTGAATCATTTTGTCATGGAGAATGAAAATATATAGATTTCTGGTCCCACTTCAAATCAGTTAAATTGCAGTCTTGGAGAAGGGTAGATTTTTAATACTCATTTAGGTCAGAGGTCAGAAAACTTTTCCAGTAAAATGCCGGAGTAGATGTTTTTGGCTTTGTATCCCATATGGCCTTTGTCACAGCTATTCAATTGCAACACTGTGGCAGGAAAGCAGGCCTAGACGCTACCAAAGTTTATTTATGGACACTAAAATTTGAATTTCATAGAATTTTTATGTTTCATGAAATATTCTTTTGATTTTCTAACTCTTGAAAAGAGAAAAATCTTTCTTAATTCATAGTCCATACAATAAGAGGACAGACTAGAGAAAGGGGTCACAATTTGCTCCCTCTGCCCAGTGATTCACACCCATGCTGGTGTTTGAGAGCCAGGCGCAATGGGGTTTTTCATGAAATTAGGACCGAGAGAATGAAGGGCGCAGCTTTGGAGGGTGATAATGCTATATAAATCTATAGACTTTTCTGAAAGAATTGTCTCCAAAGACATTTTGCCGCTCTGCAGAGGGAGCTCAGTCCTGTACTTATTTATTAGTTAAATCTGATAATGCCATTTGTAATTAAGAGAGAGTCAATTTATGCTAGAGAAGTTATTGGACAGAAACCAATTTAGGTCACACATGGATTATGGTTTTCAGTGTGTCAGGTAGAACTGGTAAAAATACTGATGGAAAAGTAAAATATTGACCTTTCCAGTTAATCATTATTCCCATTTATGCTTCAGTACTTAATGATATGAATTTATTAGTCACTTGTGCCTAAAGGCCTTTATTGAATGTACCGTATGAATAATAAACTGGGTAAGGAATTCATATCAAATGAAACTTAATATTTAGAATTAATATTTTTCTGAATACCTCATCCATATTTTGACTTTAAATGAATTTACAATTCAATTTGTGCCCAATAAAGAAAGGGCTTAAACCCTTCGCTAAGGTACTAGTAAGTTTAAAAATAATAATTTTAATAATCTGGCTTTGCTCTCTTTCCGCTTCTCCCATTTTTTATTATAGAATCAGAGACTTGGAAAGAAGTGAAAGAGATCATTTGATTAGACCCTCCTATTTATTTATTTATTTATTGAGACAAGGTCTCACTATATAGTTTGCTGGTCTTGAACTCACTATATAGCCAAGCTGGCCTTGGACTCTCAGCGAGCCTCTTGCCTTACAGGTATATGCCATCACTCTACTCAGATAGGCTCTCCTAATTTTTTTTTTCCGCAATACTGGGTATCGAACTCAGACCTTTTGCTTGCAAGGCAGGCATGGCACCACTCACCTAAATCATTGGCCCGGCCCTCCTAATTTAAACATACATGAAACAGCCATTTTCCTTATGTGGTGCTTTTATTCAGATAAAGTGGGAGAAATGGATAAAGTAACCGCAGGCAACTCTTTCAGAATGAAAGTGTCCTCAAGTGATAGATTGGTAATTTACTTTGCAATCACTGAAACTTTTTAAAATTTATAATGCATTTCGAAACTCTCTCGATCTTTTAAAAAAAAACCCAAAATTTCCATTTTGTAATTCTGTAAATCAGAATTTACTTTGGTTTGCTTTTAGTGTAACAACATTTCCAAATTATCATTTCAGAAATCAAACCCTCCATTGGCAAGCAATTGGCAATCCTCGATGTCAAGGAACCTGGAAAAAAGTTCGGCGAGTGGACCAGTGTTCTTGTCCAGCTGTTCACAGTTTCATTTTTATATAGGTTGCCATGTTAAGATTTCAAAATGTGTTTATAAGTGTGCTAAATAGTGTTGTGTTCAGCATGTCATGAGCCTTCAAACACTGTTTGGCTGAGGTTCTGGAACACATGTCATTACCACACATTGAAGTAACTGAGAAAGAAAACGCAGGCCCTAATTCTCAAGGAAAGCAGTGTCTTTATTTTTACTAAGATGAGGACCCACCATAAAAGCTCCTGTGGTTTTATGTCCTTGACTTTCCATCTGGTCACAGAATATATGTCTTGTCTGCACTAGAATTATGACCATGTGGTCCAGTTCACTTTTTGGTGAGGTGTTATTTAAGGCTTTCTATGCTTTGACTTGTGTATTTTTAAAATCTTATTCCATAATCTCTTAAAAGCTTCTCACTTTAAAAAGTGTATATAGGTATATACATATATATATATATATATATATATATTCTCACATATGCATTTCCCATGTTAGTCCATAAGTTGTGAAAAAGTTTCAAGTAAATTATCAGAAATAATTTCCCACAGTACAAGTTGTTTAAAATTTCTGTTAAAATTTTGTAATGAGAAATCTTGTCATGCCCAATGGATTCATTGTGCTGGGCTTCCTGGGGCTGTGATCCTCATTGTCTTTTCCTGGGATATTGTCTAAAATTTTTTGGAGTGCTGGTTTGGTATTCATGAAGTTCCTAAGGTGCTCTTTGTCATGAAAGTGTCTTATTTCTCCATCAATTTTGAAAGATAGTTTTGCAGGGTACGTCAGTCTGGGTTGGAGGCTGTTTTCCTTTAGGGCTTGGAATACATCACTCCAAGCTCTTCTTGCCTTGAGGGTTTGCATTGAGAAGTCTGCTTTGATTCTGATGGTCTTTCCTTTGTATGTGATTTGTTTCTTTTCTCTAACTGCTTGTAGAATTTTGTTCTTCTGTTGGGGTTCTGGAATCTTAACAATTATATGCCTATGTGTAGATTTTTTTTGGATCAAGGCTAGTTGGAGTCCTATATGCCTCACTTATCTGTATGTCAAGTTCTTTTCCCCAGCTTGGGAAGTTTTCTGCCATCACTTCTGTGAACAGTTTTTTTACATTGTCTGCACTCTCTCCTATTTCTTTATTGACTCTGATCAGTCTTATGTTATTCTTCTTTGCATCATCTAGCAGCTGCTGGATTGATTCCTTATGATCCCTTGCAATTTTAAAGAAATTTCTCTTTTCCTGGTCATTAATATCAATCTTATTTTCTATATCTGAAATTCTGTCCTCACAATTGGCTCATCCTGCTGCATAAACTTTCAATGGAGTTTTTAACCTCGTGGAAATCTAACTTTCATCTGTTTTATGGATCCATTTGTTTCCTATGTTGGGATTCCATCATGTTCCTCAGATCCTCTATTTTTTTTTATCTATGTCCTCTCTAGATTTATTAATCATGTCTTGCACTTTGGGCACAATCTCTGCTGTTATCTGGGAAATTATTTCTGATTTCATTTTTTCCAGATCCTCTTTTGTTGCCAGTTTAGGGAGTCCAGGTGGTTGAGAATCAAATTGTTTCATCTCTTTTTCCTTTGGGGTTGCTGTAGGTGATCTGGAAGTCTGATTTTGAGGCTTGTTTACCTGTCTTCTCATTTTGACGAGGGTGTGTGTGGTGTGGTGCCACGAAGCTCACCTCCTCTGCACAGCTGCCTGGAAGCCTCCTTCTCTGAGCTTCGAGGGGTGGTACCTTCTAACGCTTCAGGGAGACTTGGCTCCTGTTGCTTCCTTAAACGCCTCCCAACCTCTCTGTAATGAGAAATCAATAGCTGTGCTAAAATATTTTTTGGAGAAGAAGTTTTCTTCAGTTAATTGAAAAGAACAATCAAATGCTCATTCTAGGTCAACATATTTCCTTTATAATTAATTTTCATGAAGAGAAATTTTGGTATCAATGAATAAAACAATTGCTTTCATTATGAAAATTCTATCACCATTCCTAGCTAAGATCATTTCCAAGGCTTAAAGCCTAAAGCTGAATAAAATAATCTTTCAGAATCCAACTTCAAATTTAGTTTAATGGTGCTCACTACAGTACTTTTTTTTTTACAGAGTCTCTCTCTCTCTATATTGTTTGTTTGAGGTGCAAGGCAGAAGCATAGATGATAGAAGACATGGTTTCCATTGCAAATGCTATTAAGCACACAGGAGAGAAAGCTTGGTCTACTTATGATTGGAATATCATGAACTCACAGGAAAGTGGCCTGTTGAAGTCCCTGAGATGAAAACTGATTCTGCAGTTAGTTGCAGGGCCTTGTCTGGGCTCCCTATCCAGGACTCACTTTCAGGGGAAAGCCTAACTATGCCAGTCTATGCTATACAAGCTAAGCCTTCTTCAATTTTGAAACATATTTTAAATTCAGAATATTTCTTTGGAGAATTGAATCTTGATATTTAATCTGTATAAAATTTCTGTGTTTTCAATTATATTACATAGTTATTTGCTAACAAATGGTTTACTAAAATACATATTTTTTGGTACTTATATAATGACAGAATGACAGCAATCTTAAAGGGTATGGAAAAAGTCCCCAAAATTTAACACTGAGAGTAGCCATATTTCTGACTGTATATTCTTTTAACTGTTGTTTAATTTACGAAAAATTTAATTCTTCAGAAATTAATAAACACTCATAAAGGCTAGCAACCTCAACTATAGCTTCAGTATTAACATTGTGAGGCTTTTAAAACCATTTATAAAGCAGCATATTTGACAATATGTTTGAGTACTTTCCAATGTTACTTAAAATTTTTATAAAGTAAACTTTTTGCTCATGTTTGTAAAAGTTTTTCACTTGTCTGACTAGAAAATAACCCAAAATTTCTGGACTGCTCAGAGAATGAAGAAAATTTCACCAAAAACACAACAAGATATCCTTGAGAATTAATAAATGTGATGACTACTAATAGTAATACAGCTATGTGCATTTATGCTTCCAATATGTGTTATAACATTTAACATAATTGAGTTGTATAACATCAATTTTTCACCTTATGCATTTAATTTTTAGTGCATGAACACTAATTACTTTCATATTGAAGTGGCATTTTGTTATTTATATTCTTGAAAAAAATTCATAGGCTGGAAGACTTAACTATTAAATAACAGCTTTGAAAACCTTGTTATTAATTCTACAAAAGCCCTCGAAAACAGCTCAGAACTGAAACATGTAGTCCAAGTGATTAATGAAGAACCAAGTTTTTTATTTTTAAGTGAAAGATCAAAGTATTTAATGACCTCTTGGCATTCATTTTTAATGAGTACCTTAGTGTTAGAGTCCTTTCCACAGGCACTCTGTGATAATTTACGAACTCAAGAATCAATTATTAAACTGATTTTCAAACATAACATATGGAAAGTAATTTGAACAAAAATAAATATACTCACCAGGAAAGAAGGGGAAAGGAATTAGGGATAATGAACATTTTGAAAAGTGAAAAAAAGAAAAAAGAAAAAGAGTAGGGGGAAAATAAAACCTAACATGAAGTATAATTGCACCAGTCTCTTAAGAATCTGGCTTTCCTTGGTTTGAGAATGTCATAATTTAGCATAAACAACAATAATTTAAATTGTTTCAGTCTCTTCCGGCATAAAGATTTTAATCAGTCATCATTTTTAGGTCTGTACCAAACTGATATAAAATAAACCCTGAAGGGTTTCTGCCCTCTGGGAATATTTTTGTGAAGGCTTAAACAATTGCAAATTTCTGTGCTTGATGGCTCACGCCTATAATCCCAGAATAGGAGAGGCTGAGGCAGGATTGCTGGGAATTTTAGAGGCCAGCCCTGGGCTACATAGTAAATTCAAGGCTGCCTGGACTACATAGTGAGACCCTGTCTCAAAAACAAAAACACAAACAGAAAAACCAACCAAAACCCCCCAAAATTTGCAAGTTGACTTAGAAAGTAAGGCCCCTGCATTCTGAGGAAGAAACAATCAGATGATTAGCACATTGAAAGAGAGGTGAACTTTTTAGGTCTAGGTGACTGATACACATATTTACCCTTTCTTCCTAAATTCCCCTTGAGATTATAGGACTCACCAAACAGAATAAGTCATCTGTAATATAGATAATAAGGGTGGTGGGCAGAATTAGTCCAGTGACTATGAAGACTTTTTTTTTTTGAGGATCCAAAGCAAATGAGCTTCTACTAATAGGTAAACCGGAAGTGAATGGAGGGACCTTCTCTTTAAAACATGCAAAGAAGTGGCCCTCTTGGCACAGGAGGCACCACGTCAGTCTCATAAAAAACATGTAGACTCAGCGGCTCCACCGCCTGCCCCGAAAGTGAAAGGACCCGAGTTTGATCCCCGGTCCCAAAAAAGCCAAAAACAAAAAAACGTGTAGTGAAGAAGGTAGAATTAGAGGTGAGAGCCATTCTTTCAGGTAACAATGAGGAGATCCCATTGACAAGCAAGATGAATTTAAACAATTTCTAAAGGTAAATCTGTGAAATTGACAATCAAGGATAAAGAAAAGAGAGAACATAAAACCTTTCAGAGAGAGAAAAACAGATTACAGTGCAGGAGCAGGAGTCCCTATGAGAAGATGGTAGTCTTTTCATCAGCATCAGTGGGTCTAACAGACTAAAGCCTCCGAGCTCAGAGGGAAAATGTGAACCTGGCATTCTGTATCAGCCATTACTAAGAAATTGTGAAAGCAAGATACAGACTTTCTGAGGGACAAGGACTCAAAAGCTTTATTAAAATGTCCTACTGTTATCAGGTAGCTCCTTCTAAAAGTGGCTTGCCAAATAAATATTACTGGGTTCTGGGTTGCTTGCCTCTCCTTATGGAGTTGGATTTCAGGTTCTTCACATCTCAAACAAAGAGTTCAATGAAATGAGCAAAAAGCAGTGGCAAAATTTATTGGAGAAAGTAAAAGTGAAGAGTGAAGGAGAAACTGGCTCTGCAGAGTGAACTTGGGCCGAGTAAAAGGGGGAAAAGCAAGATGAAAGTACACCCTGGAGGAAGCAGGGGGGCTGGTGTCAGAAAAGCCATGATAGCAGGCTCTTCTTGGTGTCTGTGCCCTCTTATGCTGTCCAAATCTCAAGGAAACCCAGGAGAACTTCTACATACAGGTCCTGAGAGGTGGTGCTTGGATCCCAGGCCTCAGGCTGATGTCAGGTCCAGGCCATCCTGTTGAAAACCTGCCGGAGTTCTTGTGAGAAGTCCATGTTCAGGGCTTTGGGAAATGTTCTGTGCATGTGTCCAGGATCTTTGTAATTAACAAGTCACACCTACTTCCCCAGCCAGCTTTGCCACGCCCTAATCTATGTCACATTTTTCCCAAGATCCAATATGTGAATAATGGGAGTTCTCCCGTGCCCACTGTGTGCCTGGCTAGTTTTCTTAAAAAAAAAAAAATCACACTAGGGTAAGGAATCATGAAATTTAAGATCATCAGATACAGAGAAGAATCTAAACTCTTCCAGAGAGAAAAAAGAAAGTCATATGTAAAGGATCAGTAATTAGAATGGTATCAGACCAAAGAAACTTTTGAAACTAGAAGATAACAAACAGAGCAATGCCTTTGAAATTCAAAAAGAAAATATTTTCTAACCTAAAACCCTATATCCAATAAAAGCATTAATCCAATGTGAAAAATAGATTAAAGATATTTTCAAAAGTTAAGACACAA